CTAATTCTAAAGTGATAGAGGGAAGGCAGCTAGTCAGCACAACCCACTGTCAATCCCTGTTAAACCGAATTATGGGATTTGACCATCACTCTTATAACGTACCCAAGAACCCAAAATAACGAGTACGATTTTTAAATCGATAACGGGATCCGAACCCACGGCTTCCCAGTTCGGTACACTACTACTGGAGCAAACCTGCTCCACTATATATTTAAAATGATGTTATAATCTCATAATGTATATTGTTAGGTTTACGTAACACAAAAGTATGTTAACAGTATTGTTTTTATCTCCAAGTTTCTGCCATTCATGACTTTACATGCGCACAGAAGGGGGGGGGGGACCTCGAGCTCCTCCTTTTGCGATTGGTCCTTTGATTCAATTGAAGAATAAAGCATCCCTAAATGTGTTTGTGTATGTATCTACACACACATGTACTTAATAACAGCACTCTGGGCTTATGCTGTATATTTGAAAAGGGGCCACTGGACGTATATGTAGTCCACGTTGCCGTTAAGTGTAATTTTGACAAAAGGAAGTCTCTATTAGTTTTTATAAAGCAATTTGTTGGAGGTCTCAGTTATTTAAATGACAATCTATTACAGAGTATCTTATCAAAAAGAAAGAAGGAAAGAACATGAATATTTAAAACAATTAGTTTAAAAGTGGGCGGAGAAATAACTACCTTTAACCAGAAAATAAATGACAGTAGAAAAAAAGGCAGCCCATATCAACTGTTAACTTGGGTTAACGTTCTCACCCACACGGATAATTAGTGATGAAGGTCGTGCAACAAGTAGTGACCTCTTAACAGTTGTTACAGTACACAGTTAAAACAGGGCATGCTTACTATTAATAGATGTATTCATCCGTGTTGAATTTGTTAAATATCCGCAAATAGTACGTTTTATTCCTTGGCCAACCGCATGAATTAGGGAAGTTTCTGTTTAGTGAAGTGGTGCATAATGACAATGTTTTGTTAAAACAATTTATAGATTTATAAATTGATAAGTAGAAAACCCCTTAAGATAAAGTGGAAACAAAATGCATAGGTAACGAACGATTTCAAAAGAACGGATTTTAATCGTCAAGGTCTTCGAATAAAATTTCTATTTGATTTTTTCCTCTTTTAGTAACAGAACTTTGCACAATCCTAAATGCTCCACAAGAATCTTGTTCATTTCTTCCAAATCTATACAAGGTCTTACCCATAGTTGACAACAGATGGCGCTAATTCTGACGATTTATCAAGTTACTATGGCTGCTATGCTGTGAACAATTAGATATTTTCTAAATTCTCTAACCAATGCTGGCAACACATCATATAATACATATTGGGCATGCACAATCATAAATTAACTGATATTATTTTTCCTACAAGTTTAATAGCTGTACATTTTTTAGTTTAAAAAATGATTTCACCATATTGGTGAGTTTTATCAAAATCAGTAAAGTTCTTGATTTTTAACTGGTAAACAAATGAACCAAAAAAAAAAAGTATTGCACATGTATTTCGCGAAATACAAATAATGTTGTCAGTTTATTAATAAACGTATCACCTCACACGAATATAAGAAATGTACTCAATTAAAATATATAAATTATTGCTGATACCAGATACACATATCTGGTGGACCTCATTTACTCACGAGTTTGTTCGTAAATTCAATAATTTAACTTCTACGAAAAACTATAAATTTTCAAACTGTGACTTTTTATTTCCTGTGACTTTTTTCAACTTTCCAAAACAACAGGTTACGCGAAATGTCAACAAAATGGGTGATTATCATTAAGGGTGCTCTTTATTTTACAAATATATTATGACCATTAGGAGTTTATATATATTTGAAGAGGTTTACTTATACTAACTGATGGTAGCGGTTAATGAAACAAAACTGTATAAAGGACATTGTCAGATAATGTCCCCTTCCTTCTTTCTTTTATTATTAAACCCCTAATGACCCCATTAGGTGCTAATTGCATACCCTGCTTTGTGGAAGGTAATAATTGACTCATTTAACTGATTACGTTAGCTCTGGATGAGGGATGCTAACATACATACATAATGGATCATTTTTATAGTAATATTTATTTTCTGTTTCACTACACTTGTTCCTCAAATGTAAGCCACGTCTTAAACTGCTCTCGTCCTGCCAAGTCCTTAAGTATAGATATATAACTATCAAATGCAATTATCACTGAATGATATTTAAATGTTTTTACTGCTATAACAGAAGAACATATAATAATAAAAATTCCGATCACAGTAAGTTCTGTACTTAGAGCGAAACTAAAAATCAATGTGGTCATCAGTATGTTGAAACTCATATATTCAAATTGAAGAAAGAGCAACACTTACAGCAGGACAAAGACTAGATGAGGGTTATAACATATCAGCTTCCAGCACAGTGGTAGTTGACAAGTCAATCTACTTGTCTAGCAACTATCAGGCAACCCTGTTATAGTCGCACGTAAGTTATACGCGGTAATTCTTTTTAATAAGTAATATTTATGCAGAATGCGTAATAACTCGAGAAACTTAACTTTAAACTTGCAGTGTGGACAGACCCGGATGACGCTCTCGGGAGTCTCAACCTAAGGTTCTGTATAGGTCCATATATATTATGAATATAGAATTATAGATATACAAATAGTATTTGAATGTTGAACATTTTAAATTAGACAAACACAGATGGTACAGCAACAGTGCAAAATATTTATATAAAATAAATAATTTTTTTAAAAATAATTTTATAATTTAACAGAATAAAAAATTATTATGATTTTTATCTTTATAAGGGGGTCTATGAACATTTCAAAAGAAACTAAACAACTATCTGATCTATAAGAGCTAAATTAGCTGAAAATAAGCTTTTCAAGAAATTCAACTCGACGTCATAAGCTTACCGGTTGCCCGTCTGAACTGTTTAGTAATGTGAAATTGGTCTATATATGAAAGGATCAGAAAACGAAAATTACGAACTATGAAAGGCAATCACAGCAACTGACTACTAAAAAAGTGTGTGCTAAATCTTTGGTGGCCCTGCCTTTTTATTTTTTTGGGGGGTAGACAAGTTATAGCTTGGCTAGATTTTTCATTAATCAGGCCCCGAGTGTAGATAGTAAAGAAAGTTGAGATACCACAACTCCGAGTGACAGGTATATTAACTCTTTCTAAAATAAGTTGTACGTTGATAGAGGACGAGTATATGGTACGATTTCTTTTTATTTACCTCTATGTTGATATTATTTATATCAGTGTTTAATATTATAAAGTTGAATACTTTGTTTCCTTTAATAGGGGATGGTTGTTGGCTGAAGAGTAATTGTTGCGAAAACGCTATTACTATTGAAATGGTCCCCCGGTGAATCAGCAATAAGTCTAAGACTTACACCGCTAAAATCCGGGGTTAGATTCCCTGTGATGAATACAGAAGATAGCCCAATGTTGAGTTCGCGCCTCTTTAATTAACATCTTAGTTAATACTGTAGAAACTTACAGTTTCACTCATTCTTTCTTTTAGACATTTTAATAAATATAATTTGAAATTAAAGATTGAATAAAAACTGGTAGTAACTTCCAAGATCCAACTTTTAAATTCTAGTACCTTCTATATTTAATGGTTGTTGTTTTTTTATCTTTAATGAACTAAATATTGATTCACAGAGATAAATTAGGGAGAAGTGTAACTTGTCCTCTGCATTTGTGCCATTATCGTCACTTACATAGTTTGGTTTGTTTTGAATTTCCCGCAAAGCCACACGATAGCTATCTGCGCTAGTAGTCCCTAATTTAGCAGTGAAAAACTAAAAGGAAGGCAGTTAGTCATCACCATCCACCGCCAACTCTTAGGCTACTCTTTTACCAACGAACAGTGTGATTGACCGTCACTTCATATTTCCCCCACGGCTGAAAGGGCGAGCATGTTTGGTGGGACGAAGATTCTAACCCGCGACCCTCAGATTGCGAGACAAGCGCCCTAACCACTTACATAGTCTTATAGGATTACAAAATGATCAAGATCTCGACTAGATGTTATTTACTCCCGATGCAAAATGATTAAGATCTCAACCAGATGTAATTTACTCCCAATACAAAATGATTAAGATCTCAACCAGATGTTATTTACTCCCGATACAAAATGATCAAGATCTCAACCAAATGTTATTTACTCCCGAAATTCTGTGCTGAGAAATATATCGCCCGTTTTATATTTCACAAGGAAAATTAATTTTCTCTTTTTGAGTTAAAATCTACATTCAAACGCTACAAGAGCCACTGATATTTGATAGTTTGTGTAATATTATGAATCAGAGATAAAGAAACATTATTAAGACGTAAGAATGACCATCGCTTTACTGTTTACATATAAGATGTGTTACCAACTCTACTAACACTAGTACTAGTAGTAGAGGTGATATGTTTATTAGACCAGTTACTAGTTAAACTAGTGTTAAACTGACTCTACTAGCACTAGTAGGAGCAATATATTTATCAGGCCTACTACTAATAGAGCTAGTGTTGAACTGACTCTACTAGCACTAGTAGGAGTGATATATTTATCAGGCCTACTTCCACTAAGTTCTAGTTGAACTAATGTTAAACTGACTCTACTAGCACTAGTAGGAGCAATATATTTATCAGGCCTACTACTAATAGAGCTAGTGTTGAACTGACTCTACCAGCACTAGTAGGAGTGATATATTTATTTTATAAGACTTACTATTAGTAGAGCTAGTGTTGAACTGACTCTACCAGCACTAGTAGGAGTGATATATTTATCAGGCCTACTACTAATGGAGCTAGTGTTAAACTGACTCTACTAGCATTAGTAGGAGTTATATATTTATCAGGCCTACTTCCACTAAGTTCTAGTTGAACTAATGTTAAACTTACTCTACTAGCACTAGTAGGAGTGATATATTTATTTTATAAGACTTACTAGTAGAGCTAGTGTTAAACATACTACTTGAAACTAAAATTAATGTTTTTTTCTTACTTTTGGAGATTTTGGTGAAAGACTAACGTCATGGAGACTCGAAGTGCTGGACGATCGAGACGATAACGGGTCGTGTCCACTACAACTGCTGAAACTAAGCGTTGAGTTCAGGCTTACTGTATCTCGTGCGGGCGTTCGACATCGATAAGGTGACAGGCCTGAGCTGGATAAATGCACGTGCTTTAACATTTTTGAATTATAGTGCGCTAGAACAGTTCAATAACGAGAACGTTAAAGTTAGTTTCTAAATGGCTTGGGCCATATAGTTTTCGTGATCAGTTCCAACCGTTGTTTTCAAAATCGAACGAGATACACTTCGTAACCACACTGCTTATTCAGCACGAACTCGGGTCCTACCGACAACGGAACTAAATAGGACAATCGCATTACACACCATTTGGTGGCCCCTCGGCGTCTGTTCCTGATAGTAAAATCGCCCACAACCACTCCTGGTGACACCCGGAAAGAAGCTAGCAGCTGATTGGTTGTCAGGGTGTTTCCGTAGCAACCAGTCCATTTGCGCGCATGGACGCTTTGCAAACAATCGGAAGGGGCATCAGCTGAGAAGCGTCAGGAAGAAAGAAACTGCGGCCCAAGTTCCGGCCCGTGGTATCGTCACATTATACTCAAATCCTACCATCTTTCTCTCCTCCCCGACCCAAATCCACCCTCCCATAAATGAAAGAGCAAGAGGATCTGCCTTGAAGTGGCCTTGCCTCCAGACATACACGCGACCTGTGTTAAGGGTGAGACTTCAGTAAAAGAGAGAGAACGAATACCGCTGTGATTGTGAGCAACAACTGATCTCCGCCTTCTTTTGTTTCATGACGTAATCGGGTGGAACTTCATGCTCGTATACAAAAATCACTTCTTTACATTCGACACCAGCTTTACCATATCGGGCAACGGGTCATTCAGGGATGTTATGTTTGGGTATATCTTCCACATTCGATCATAAATATTCGACCCTATGTCTCTACTATGTATAATAATGGCTGGAGACGGCTTAAATGGGTAATGAAGAAAAACTTTAATATAAGTTTAACATAACCACAAATGTACAACGTTTCGACAAGGTTTTGTCATCATCAGGTACATTTGCTGTTATGTTAAACTTATATTAAAGTTTTTCTTCATTATCCATTCAAGCCGTCTCCAGCCATTATTAGTGTAATATTATGTTATATTATTGACCAGTGTAATATTATGTTATATTATTGACCAGTGTAATATTATGTTATATTATTGACCAGTGTAGTATTATGTTATATTATTGACCAGTGTAGTATTATGTTATATTATTGACCAGTGTAATATTATGTTATATTATTGACCAGTGTAATATGTGCTTTGAATCTCCAACCATTATATAGACAAGTAAATATTTACCGATAGATAGGTTGACAGATCTATGACTAGGTAGGTTTAATAAAATCATGTTTATAGTTATTTAGGTAGGTTTAATAAAATCATGTTTATAGTTATTTAGGTAGGTTTAATAAAATCATGTTTATAGTTATTTAGGTAGGTTTAATAAAATCATGTTTATAGTTATTTAGGTAGGTTTAATGAAATCCTATTTATAATAAATTATACGGTTTTAATAAAATCATGTTTATAGTCATTTAGGTAGGTTTAATGAAATCCTATTTATAATAAATTATACGGGTTTAATAAAATCATGCTTATAGTCATTTA